ACTTATTTTTCCAAAATAATATTTTGGAATATTTTCTCTTAGCTGTGCTTCATATTCTCCTTGTAAAGTTGTGCCACTGCCATCTGATGACACTCTGCAGAGGCTCTAACAAAGCAACCTGAGCAATGTTTTTGAGAGGCTAGGATATCACCCACAGGACAGGTAGACTGGAACATGGACTCCAGGCAAGACCAGCCTACCTAAGAGCCACTCCTTCTACAGCACTTGGGAGGCTCAAGCAGGAGGATCCTGAGTCTGAGGCCAGCCTGGGCTATACAGTGAGAGCCTGTCTCAAAGCCAACAACAAAAATGGAGTTACTGTGCCAGACATTCCCAAAAGTATCTAGAGTCAAGAGGTTATAGAAGAATGATTCTTATCCATGGTTTCCATGGTTATCTGAAGCTAAGCCCTTTCCACTGGCATTGGTTCTTGGTAGTCCACACTCACAGCATCATTTAGCAGGAAAGATGACCCCTGTGAATGTATTTAGTTACATGTCTTCTGACTTTGGCTCCTTTTCTATCCTTCCATTTTCATTTTTTTCTTTTTAAAACTTTGATTTGCTTATTTTTATTTTATGAGTATGAGTGTTTTACCTGCATGTGGGTAAGTGTACCCGTGTCATGCCAAGGACACTGAGGCCAGAAGAGGGCATCAATTTCCTGGAACTAGAGTTACAGGTGGTTGTTAACTGCTATGTGTGAGCTGGGAATGGCCTGAGGATAGTAGTGCCGCCCATTCTTTTTTTAAAACTTTGATTTGCTTATTTTTATTTTATGAGTATGAGTGTTTTACCTGCATGTGGGTAAGTGTACCCGTGTCATGCCAAGGACACTGAGGCCAGAAGAGGGCATCAATTTCCTGGAACTAGAGTTACAGGTGGTTGTTAACTGCTATGTGGGAGCTGGGAATTGAACCCCAGTCTTCTGGAAGTGCAGCCAGTGCTCTTAGCCACTGAACCATCTCTCCAGTCCTAACTTTTTGCCCATTCTCTAGTTGAGCTTCTATGCTGAGTTGTAGGAGTTCTTTGTTCATTGGGATAGTAATCCTTTACCACATAGGTAATTTTTACTATTCTCCACTCATTCTTAGGGTTGCCTTTTTACTTTTTCTTCTCCGTCTTCTTCTTCCTCCCCCTCCCCCTCCCCTTCTTCTTCCTTTTCTTCTTCTTCTTCCTCCTCCTCCTCCTCTCCTTCTTCTTCTTCTTCCCCCTCCTCCCCCCCTCCTCCTCCTCCTCCTTCTTCTTCTTCTTCTTCTTCTTCTTCTTCTTCTTCTTCTTCTTCTTCTTCTTCTTCTTCTTTCCAGACAGTAGCCCCAGCTGGCTTGGAACTCATTATGTAGACCAGGCTGGCCACCATCTTACAGAGATTCACCTGCCTCTGTCTCCTGGGTGCTGGGATTACAGGTATGCACCACCATGCCCAGAAGCCATTTCATCCTTTTGATAGTTTCCATTGATCCATAAAAGTTCTTAATTTCATGAAGAATTTTATTTATTCACTTATTTCTTGAGTTTTTGGAATCATATTAAAGTAATCATAGTTATCTAAATCCACATGGGGCAAAAAAGATACCAAGAGAGTCAGCCCCAGGTTAATCTGTCATAGTTAAAGTCTACCCTGCTCCCTGCAGACCAAGCCTGTGCCACATTGGGAAATCAGTAGAGAAAGGGAAGCAAAGATAGCATGTGATTTCCTACTGTTGTGAATGCGGCATTGCTTCTGTTGAACATCTAAGTAGTTGGTATAGTTCATTGGTTGTGTTTCAAAGTTCTTACAATATTATTTCCCCAACTTTTAAATCTGTTCACAGAGGGACCAAAGGCTTAGAACATCCCAGTTTGCCATTGCTTGATTATCAAAGTCTTAATCTGTTCTCTATGACTTGTTCACTCCGGCTTTTGGAAGCTCAGTTGTCTCTTTTGCAATGTGGGTATAATAATCTCTAACTTACAGATACTTTTGAGTTTCAGAGAAGTCACATACTACAGCCTTCACCACAGTGCATACTGCAGAACTCTAGTGAAGATGACAGTCATTTCGGTTTTATTCTTACATTGAAGAAAAACTTTATAGAACATATTAGCAAATGCCTCATCATAAGCTTATTTAGAGATTTGAGACCATGTTGGAGGTAGCCCTCTGCAGTCTGCTGGTGTTACATGCTGTCCCATGGAAAGTGTATGAGTCTCATTAGTCCTAAGTTGCTGGGTGCTTGGGTAATGTGGAGGCAGAGAACAACTCTGTGATCACATTTGTGCTGGGAGATTCTCCTAGGTTGGCAAGTTGCTATGGCCAGTGGACCGGAAATGTTGGCCCCCATTTGTCTGGTGGAAAACCACAGTGAGCAGCTGTCGGTGAACCAGGAAGCCATCGAGATTCTGGACAGGATTTCCCAGCCAGTCATTGTGGTGGCCATTGCTGGACTGTATCGCACAGGAAAGTCTTACTTGATGAACTGTCTGGCAGGGCAGAACCATGGTGAGTCTCATGCTGGCCAATTTCCTGACTTTGCCTATGTCGCTCATCTTTTTAAGCTTGTTCCCTGTGGTAGGAAAGGAGAGCCCAACTGCTTTCAGCAAAGCAACCTTCTCATGCTAATTTGCACCACTAATTCGGTACTTCATTGTATTCTCTTTCCATGTCCTTTCCTTTTCTCCCTTTAAGAAAAATCTCTCCTACTAATGCTCAAGATCGGAACTTCCTGATGCTCTAACACTCTGGGATCCTGTATGCGGGTCTCTTACTTTATACAATATAACTTGCTTTTCTGTATCTGCATTGTTATTTAAAAATATTTGACTACACAGGACTTAAAAATCTCTGCTGGATCTCACAACCTTTTACTTTTTTTAAAAATCACTTTGAATGTAAAAAAGATTATACCCGTATATGTGCCTCTGACTTGGAGCTCCATCATTCTTTCAAAATGCCATTTTATTTTTATAGAGATAGAGTCTTTCTACGTAGCAGTGTTTGGTATACTACTATGTAGCCCAGGCTGGCCTTGAACTAGTGGCAATCCTCCTTCCTCATTTAAGCAGTAGGATTATAGGTATGGACCACCTTTCCCGGTTCAAAATACTCTATTGCAGTTACCACTGACCTCCATGTAGTGTGATTCATGAATACCACTTTGTCTCCATTTTGAGCTCTGTGTGTCATCACTTTCATGTTAAATGTCCCTTATACCTTGAAAAGGATGACATAAAATGAGACATTCCTTGAAGAAATAAAGAAATCACCAAGTTGAACATTGGGGTGTTTATAATCCAATGTTTCTGACTTGGCCAACCCTACTGCTTAGGAGATCTGCTGTTAGTGGACATTGCCCTCTTATGTTAGCTGGTTTTGCATGGTTGTGACCAAAATATCAGAGAGAATAACTTAAAGAAGAAGTATGTGCCTTGGCTCACAGTTTCAGGAATTTATTCCATAGTCCTTTGGTCCATTCACCCTAGGCCCATATTGAGGCTGAAGATCATGGCTTAAGTATGTGTGGAGGTATTTCCTTTCGTGATTGACAGGAAGCAGAGTGTGGAAGGCACTGGGGTTATAACCTTCCAAGTCACGTACTCTCTCCAAATAGTCCTCAATACCTAAACTGTTCAGACTCTCCTTCACAGAGTGCTACCAGGTGGCTATCAAGTGTTCAGCACGCAAGGCTGTGGAGACATTCCACATCAAATTACAGGATCTCTCCTCTTCTCTTCAGGCTTCCCCCTGGGCTCCACAGTACAGTCTGAAACCAAGGGTATCTGGATGTGGTGCGTGTCTCACCCCACCAAACCAAAGCACACCCTGGTCCTTCTGGATACCGAGGGCCTGGGTGACGTGGAAAAGGTAGGACACAGCCCAGGACGATCCCTTTTATTTTAGGTTTTCCTTGTCTCTCCTTGCCCCTTTGAAATCTATCTGTTGTCATCTGTTTATGAACTCTGCGGATTGGATGATAGTGATTAAGAGAACATTAGTCTGTTTAGATTTCCCTCCTTGATAAGATCTGATGTGCTATACGGATCTGCGAGTGAGTGATTCAGTCTAAGTTTATTGAAGAGCAAAATTCTGGGCTCCTCAGCATAGCAATTAGGTATTAGTGGACAAATTAAAGCCTCTTTCTTCAAAGAGTCCCAGGACTCAAAGAGAGGCCGTGTGTGCCTTCTGATTCAGTTCTGTAACTGTACAGAACAGAGGAGGAGCTGCCACAGGGCAGCACCTGACGCCTGTCACTTCCAGGGAGAGACCTGGAGCAGCGCTTCTTAGTCTAAGTTGCAGCAATGGTGCTATCTCTTCACCCTTCGTACCCATCCATCATTGGATTTTGGCCCTGAGACTTTGTCATCAAGCATACTGACATCTAGGGCTGTCGCCCATCGGCATTCTAGCAACTGGGGAAATAATTTCTTCCATCTTGAAAGATGATCCAGGCTGCACGGCTCAGCTTCCACTACCAGACCTTAAATGTGCAGATGTGACAGGAAAGTAGAGGCACTGGCCCACCTTAGGGGATGAGGAATCACTTCCGACCCACATTTTGAGTCACTGTGTGATATGTACATTTGAAGTTGGGGTTCTGAGAACCAGATTTACTTTTCTTATGGTGAGGCTCATCAACTACCCACAGGAAATAATGGAAGTCCTTGAGGAAACACTGTCTTCCCTGGTTCTATAAAAACATGTGTTTGTCCCATAACAAATATCTTGAGATGAATTGTTTAATATGTTAGTTTCAATCAGTGAGCTGAATAATTAGTCTTTTTTAAAAAACTCATTTTCAGGCATATGAAAGCAGTGTTTAAGTTTCTGTATTACCATCCAAAGAAGAGTTAAATTGTGTGTTAACTTTTCAGCTTCATTGAAATTGACAGAAAATGTCATGTACTGAAAGTGTAGATTTTGACATCTGGACATAGAGTGTGAAATCATCACAACAACGAAGCCAATTAATACAACTGTCACCTCGTAGTCGTCTCATTTCTTTCTGTTGAAAGTACGTGGTGCGGTGTTATTAGCTATGCTTACCACGTTTATTTCAGCTTTCAGAAACTTGTGCGTAACACATACTTTGTACATTTAACCGACATAACCCTTTCTTCTCAAACCCCAGATGCTGGCAAACACTTTTCTGGTCTCTGCTTTCAGGGCTTTGACAGTTTCTTTGACTTCAGAGTCTTACCTAAGTGCTTGTGAAAACCTCACTGGAGGTGTGTTTGCCCTTCTGGTGTCTGGTTCATTTCATCTAGGGTAGTATTGCCCCCAGGTTGTTTCAACAGGCATGATGTTTTTACATTTTTAAGGTGAATATACACATTTCCCATTTTCTTTATCCATTCACTCATGGATAGGTATTTTGACTATTTCAATAGGTTGTCTATTATGAATAATGCCTTGAGAACTATGGGAGTACAGGTATCTTTCGACATCCTGTTTTTGCTTCTTTTGGATTTACACATAAAAGTAAGACCCCTGGGGGCTGGAGAGATGACTCAGTGGTTAAGAACACTGGCTGCTCTTGCAGAGGACCTGGGTTCAATTCCCAGCACCCACATGGTGGCTATATACTGTCCTTAACTCCAGTTCCAGGGGAATCTGAAGCCCTCTTCTGACCTCCGCGGCATTGCACGACACAGGTGCACTTACTTACATGCAGGCAATACACTCATACATATAAAATAAAAATAATAAATAAATATTTTTAAAAAGTGAGAACCCTGAAGCCTGGTTTGTGGTACATACCTTTAATGTCAGAGGCAAAGGCAGGCAAAGGCAGTTGTATTAATTGGCATCATTGTTGTGATTATTTCACACTCTATGTCCAAATGTCCTGGATCTCCGTGAGCTCCAGGTTAACCTGGTCTGCATATCTACATAGCGAGTTCCAGACTACCCAGTGCTACACAGTGAGACTCGGACTCAAAAAACAAAAACAAAAAAACAATAAATCAACCAAAAAAGAAGAGAGACTCCTGGATCCTATGGAATCTTAATTTTTGTTTTACTTGAGGAATCTCTAATGATTTTAAAGTGCTCATATAAGTTTGCATTCGATCAATAACACATGGCCCATCTTTTCTCTACCCTTATCAGCACTCAGTGTCTTTTGTCAATTAGGTAATAGGAGTGCTGATACCTCCTTGCAGTCTTGACTTCCATTTCCCTGAAGATCAGTGATGCTGATTGACTGTTCTTATATCTGCTGGCCACTTGTCTATGTTCTCTTTAGAAATGTATATTCAAGTCCTTTTGTGCATTATGCCAGTGTGCATGCATATACATGTATGTTTGCACACATATGCACATGTGTGCGCATGTACATGTATGTGGGTGCATGTGGAGGCCAGAATTTGATATCAGTAGTCTTCCACACTGCTCCCCAGATTGTCCTTTGAGGTAGAGTCCCTAGCTGAATCCAGAGCTTGCCGATTCTTGCTAGTGCAGCTAGCTAGCTTGCCCCAGGGTGAGCTGCCATGTCCACTTGGCATTTACAAGGGTTCTGGTGAGCGCTAATCTTCATGTTTGCAAAGCAAACACTTTATACCCATTGAGCCACCCCTCTTGTCTCCCTTTCTCATTTTAATTGGGGTATTTTATTTTGATTTTGAATTATATGAATTCCTTATATATTTTGAATATTCATTCCTTATCAGATGTGTGGTCTAAAAAAATTTTCCCATTCTATACTGCATTTTTATGTGGCTGATGTGTCTTTTGATGGCAAGAAGCTTTTGAGTTGGATGCTGCCTTACTTGTCTGATTTGTCTCTGTTGCCTGTACATTCACTGTCCCATCTAAAACCACTTCTGAGAGAGTATGGTCAAAAGTCTTTTTTTTTTGTGAGGTATGTGAGAAAGTCTAATTTCACTCTTTTGCTTGTGGACACTGTTTTCCCAGAACCATTTGCTGAAATGACTGTTCTTTCCCCATTGGGTATACTTGATACCCTTGAAAAAAATCAGTTGGTGTGATTGTTAAGTTGACATGACCTAGAATCACCTGAGAAGAGAGTCAGTGAGAGAGTGTCCACATTGTGTTGCCTGTGGGTGTATCTGTGGGAGATTGCCTTAATTAAGTTAATTGATATGGGAAGACTCAGCTTACTGTGAGCGGCACCATTCCCTAGGCAGGGGTTTCTGAATTGTACAAGAGTCCGGCTGAGATCAAACAAGCATAGGAGCATGCATGCATTCCTGTCTCTCCGTTCCCGATGGTGGATGTGGTTTGACCAGCTGTTTGATGTTTCTGCCTTGACTTCCTTGCAATAAGGGACCCTAACCTGGATTTGTCAGCCAAAGAAACCATCTCTCACTTAACTGTTTCCTGTCAGATTATTTCATCACAGCAGCAGAACTGAAGTTGGAACAGTTACAACTAATGCATAGATTATTTTCCCCTGGGCTCTCTATTGTATTCCATAGCATGATTGCCTTTTCTCATTATTATACTTTAAAAGTGCCTATTAACAAATATGTCTTATGAATTGTACAAATTAATGAGACTCATTATGATTTTCCAGGCATACCCTTATCTGCTCTTCTATGCCCTGATGACAGCTCTCTTACTTTTTGCACATACCATGCTATTTTGATTACTATAGACTTGTAATTTATTTTAAATCAGGATGTGTGATGCCTCCATCTCTCTTCTTTCTTACAATTGTTTTAGATAAATAGTTTTGTGATTTCATGTATATTTTAGGATTTTTCTTTATATTTCTTAAAAAGTATCATTGGCATAGTTATAGGAATTTTGAAGTGGTCTATCAAATAATGATGATACGCTTATAATACAGTTTATTATTTGTCATAGCCCCACATCTATGGAAAATCCTAAATAATTAATTAAAAAACAGCACTTAGGGAAGGAAGTGAATATTCTTCTCATCCCTAAACTCCCACACAGAACTTTCTAAACATAAATCTCAATGTTCTCTTGCTATAGTTACCATATTTATAGCAGCAGCAGGTTCTGGATTATTCTATAATGCAGATGATGTTATAATTTATATAGACAAATTAACGTGAACTTTAATAAATTTCATCAGCCTGTCCCAGTGCGCAGTGCACTGTACTACTTTCTGCACTTACTTTCCTCAGCATCCAGCTAACTGACTCTTGAAAAGATCCCTGACCTGTCCTCTCTAGTTTTGTTCTGTGGGTCTTCCTCCCTTTAGGGTGACCTTTATTTCTCCACATCCACATTCTACCCATTCTGTCAGGTCAGCTCATGAAAGTCTTCACAAATATTTTCTTCAACTTTCATAGCTATATTCTTTCTTGATTTATACTTGTACTTTTTGATTATTTATTTTTATTTTGTGTGTATGAGTGTCTTGCCTGAATGGATGTAACTGTATCCACATCATGCAAAGGCCACGGAGGCCAGAAGAGGGCGTCAGATCCCCTGGAGCTGGAGTTACAGATGGTTGTTAGCTGCCTTGTGGGTGCTGGGAATTGAACCTGGGTCCTTTGCAAAAGCAGCCAGTGTTCTTAACCACTGAACCATCTTTCCAGCTGCTTATACTTGTAATTTTTAAATTAGTATCATTGGTATAAGTTAGCTATACATTGTTAGTACATGAACTTTTAATAAATATTTTCATTTTTGTTCCATTCACTTTTTTTTTGTCTTTTTGAGACAGGGTCTCCCTGTAGCCCCAGCTGGCCTGGAACTTGCTATGTAGACCAGGCTGGCTCAGTCTCACAAAGACCTACCTGCCTCTGCCTGGGATTAAAGGCATGCACTTCCATACTTGGCATTGTTCCATTAATTTTTATTTTGTCATTACTCTCAATTAGCCATTTTGAAAATAACAGTTGTCATTATTAAATTAATTTTTCTGGAGGTTGGGGAGATGGCTCATTGGATAAAGTACTTTCCATGCATGTGGGAGAGCTGGAGTTTGGATCGTCAGAACTGATGTAAAAATCTAGACAGGCATGGCACCTGGCTGCAATCCTAGCACATGGGAAGCAGAAACAGGACATACCTGGGAGGAAACTGGCCAGCTAGAGGAGCCAAATCAGTGAGCTCCAGATTTAGTGAGAGATCCTGCCTCAATGAATAAAGTGGAGGGTGACTGAGGAGACATCCAACATTAAATCTGGGCCTCTACACATATGCATACATACAGGTATGCATATTCACACACATGTGCACCTCACACATATGGACATTAATGTATACATCATCCTATCCTATCA